TTATAGTTATATCATTTTTCGATTAGAACACAGCTTAAGCTATGTTTGGTAAAGAGATAATGTCTAACCCTTGGATTATTACACAAGTAATCCTGGTACTGTATAAATTTCTATCTTGAAGTGAAAACCAGAATAACCAGCTTGATTTGAACATAATAGCCACATTTATCAACTAATTTCTCTGCTGACTAAAGTTTAGAGACTTCGAAGTCTGGTTATCTAACAATCAGTTTCACCGAATCCATCTCCTCCAGAATCTAACCTGCAATTCATTCTAAAAACAGAACTTAATAAATAGAACTTAAAATATATTAGAAAATATTCTTCTCGCTCGGTCGATAAAAACATTGCATGACCTACAATTCCCCAAGTGCAAAGACCAGAATCGTAAAGAGAAAGAAAAATGCAAAGCGACACATCTCGCATCGTTGTCTTTAGGTGTGTTTCTGTAATGCTAACGTATCTTCGATTATTTGTGCGCCCAGTATCGGGAGAGAGAAGGACAGCTATCGGGCAAAGTGATGCGGTAAAGAGAGAAAGGAATAGTGTATCGAGAGCTCCGTAGCAATCCAGCAGAGAGCAGCACGGCTGAAACGGGGATTTGCAAACAATAGGCCCGTAGCGGGGTGGATTCTTTAGATGGCGGCTTGATACGCATCGCATTTACATATTATTGCTATTATTAGGTAAACGGTCCTTCGAGCGCCTCTTTAACACTACGCGCTCGCCCTTCGAGGTATTTTACGAGCGACCGCGAGAGGCCCCCACCGATAAAAGCCGAGGCCATAGCGAACTGAACCAGCGCCGTCTGTCGGCCGGCAAAAATTGAACCAGCGCTCGGACCGAGTGGGTGGCTGGAATTGTAAATAATCGTCCAGGACCGCTAGAAAAAGATCCTTATCACTTTTATACCAGCCACTGTCCCATCCATGTTAATATCAGCCGTAGAATAGCCGTCAGCGTATTGAAATCTATCACAGTCAGCTACTTTTAATATCGAAACAGTGCGTGTGCTTTCAGATTATTGGTATTGCTGCGATTATCCATATCGATGGAGTAAGTTTTGTTACCTGTTATTGAAATTTGTGTGCAGTTTTTCCTTAGAATGTGGTACAATATGTAATAATATAATAATACATATTTATCGATTGAGCAAACAGATTATAGCACGAAAATCGAATGTATAATACGGATTATGTATATGGTTTAATATAAAGTGATGGATTAAATGAATTTTGGATGCTGGGTTCTACAGATTGAGTTTATATTTTTATAGTAGAAGATGCAATACTTACGATACAATAATACGTTATAGTAATTGTAATTGTCCGACTTGTACGCAGTATACCTTTCGAGTAACACATGCAATATCCTAAATTCTGAATTTTAAATTCAGCATAAAAGATGTCGCGATTAGATTGATCGATAAGTCAGATCGCTAACTCTGACATAAACAATGTGACATTCTGTGACAAAAAAACTGAAAAAAATAGAATGAAGTATTGTTATACGTTCTACTTAAAAAACAAAATCGAATCTGAAAATTTAAAAATCAGTAAACTTGCCTACAAGCTAAGAGAAATTTCGTAAAACTATTAATATGTTATTGCAGCTTAACCTTAATTAAGTATAACATCGACATAGACACTGTAACTGAATATTTCGATATCCGATACTACTCTAATCTTAAAATGTTTATGGTAATTTCTAACCATAAAATATACATCGGTATGTATACACATTGCGATTCAACATCTTCATATTCAATACTAATAATCAAGAAATAAGAGCACTTCACTTCAATTTCCGCAGCAGTGTAAACACGCATTAACAATTAAAACTACATTAATAAGTACATAACTAAACAACGAGAATTGCATCATTGATGCAAATAAGGACTCGATTGAAAATTCACGCAACACGCAATTCGCGAAGAATCGGCTTTTTAAAGCTGGCAACGCTGCAGCCGCGCGCGCATCGGACTTCTCTAGACCGCGTGACGCCAGGGTCGAAATTAAAGACGGGGCTTTAGAAGGTAGGGGGCCCCCGACGAAGTCGTGGAAAGCAAAAAGGGCGAAGAGAGGGATCGGAATCGCTCGATAAAACAGGGCGACGTTGGAAGCACCGATAGGCCCCGAACGATTCTCCATTGGGAGAAACATTGGGTCGCGGGGTGGAGGGTGGAACGAGTACGTACACACAATGGGGTCCAAGAAGAGGAGCCGAGAGCAAAAGCGGTGAATTAATTGTCGCTCGCGCCGCCGACGAAGCCGCTACGATCCGCAAGCCTGATTTGTGAGCCGCACGCGTGTATATCGTATGTGTATCTACCGCTCCCTTCTCTCCCCACTTCTCCCTTAGTCCATCGTTTTCTCCTTCGTACGCGCTCTTCCCTTTCCATTTCTTTCATTCTTCACTGCTTGATCGTCTCCAGCGTGCAACAAGGAGACCCGTGTACAGGTTATACGCGACCATGGTGGTGGAGACTGACAATGGAAACAAGCCCAACGGAACGGCAGAGTAAACAGACCGGTATAAGAGAGACAGAGAAACGTGGAAACAAAAGGAAGACTGTAATGAAAAGAAACGAACGAAAACAGATGGCGAGAAGAAGAGAGAAGATCGTGAATGATCCGTGGAAAGAATAAAGAACAAGGTAAGGAAACAGAAAGATGCTACGAAAAATCCTGCCACCAGATCTCCATGTTTCTTTTCCTCCTTTTCATCCACTTCTTTATCCCCTTCTTCTGCCCTCAGCGTCTTCCTTTTCCCTTGCTTCTCTTCGTCTCCTACTTTGTCCGTTCTTCTTTTCCTTTTTTCTTATTTTTATTTATTATTCAATAGAGGCCAGGAGGTGCTCGTTAATTGATGGCACCGGCTACGGTCGAGCGCAGGAGCGGAGAGAGGGAGAAAAATCGAGGTGGGCTCTCGAAGAAGGGGACTACGGGACCACCATCGCCTTATTTATAACGCCGGGGGTAACCGAATTCACGATCAAAATCCCGCGTTCCGCGGCATTGATGGATCGCCACCGCTATGCGCCGCGTTGCGGCAGTGCTGGTATTTTCAAATGAACTCGCCCTTTTTCCCCGTGAGCCCTCGACATCCGTCGACCAGAGGATTCCCTCCGAAACGGGACATCATCGAATTCTGCCGACTAAACTGCACCACAAACACGCCGGACCTTTTGATTTCTATATGCAGCTGCCTTTCATCGATCATGGAAGCTCCATCGACCCGCACAATGAGATGTTGAAATATGTGTTACCGTTGCATTGATTTATTCGCTTCGCTCTTCTGCGGCCGACCTTGCGCACCACCAAATCTCGACGTTTACAACTTTATCTTGTAATAAGTTGGATTTATCTTGCTATACGATCAACGCATTAGGGAATACATGTTTGAATTTCGTGTGTGATGGATACGAGACTTTCTTTGTTATTTAAAGTAACCATAGTTGAAGACAAATTTTTTAATTTTTTAAATTGTATAGAAAAACTATATGTAGGTTTACATGAGTTTGTATAGACTGCATGGATTTAACTTTATAGATGAAACTTTAAACACGTTTCTCTTTTTAAATATTATTTTCCAAACGGGTGAGACAGATATTTTGGAAAGTAAGGGATTCTTTTTTTAAATTGCAAAATTCACTTTCTGTCGAATATACTTTTTCTCTACCATATTCTCTTTACCATTTCTGACAGTTGAAATATTCAATTCAAGGTGTTGAGGAATTCATTGGAAGTAGGATTAGTACTGAAAAGATTTATAAAATGAAAAATAATGCTGTAATAATGTAGAATAATACTGTGATAAAAGATAGATTATAAAAATTGCAATAATCCAAAAAGGCCTATTTCGAAAAATGTTCTTCCAAACAGGTGCTGAATTGTATGATGAGTAATCAGTGTTCTCAGAAAAACAACTAAATATATGGACCGTTTATTTTGAAAGTGGTGCAAGTCCACTTTCTGTTGTTCTGAGAAAATTAATGATTAACATATTTGTCAATTAAAAAATATAGGTTAATTACGTCAGGTTTGGCAATGTTTCTATTAATTTATCAATATGTAAATTGATTATATAAATTTCTTTTAGGCGAATTTAACTAAAATAATTTACAGACTACAAATGGACATTTTCATAATTAGTCAATTATAAAAATCATTTAATTTTAATTTTGAAAATCTAAATATCACTTAAAATATATTTCATATAAATCCAATTTTGCTTATAAATAATAACAAGAAATAAAATAGAAGTAGTATTTTTTATTTTGGACGTTAATTATATTTATATATTGTTAAACTTAACATAAGATATTGGTATTATTTATTTATGCTCTTTATGTGGCACTGTTTTGAAATATTCATGATGCACAGGAGGTATATAAGGTAATAACTGCTCCATATCCTTATATTTTTCGTATGTAATAGGCCTGGCATCGTAATACGAAGGCGCCATTTTGAATGTTTTCAAATTTTTGCGGTTTTCTCCGACATGTAGGTGATAAATCTAAAGTTTTAAATTCTATGTTCCCCATTGATGTTCTCAATTATTATAAAATAATATTGATTTACTATTTCTTCTTACCTATATCACTATCTGATGTTAATATGAAATCATCCATTTTTAGAGGGAAGTAAAATAAGTAACCTAAAATAGTAACTTTCAACACGTGGAATAAAACAGGTGTAGTCACTAGTGACCACTGACCCCGCCACCTATCTATGGAAATTGAACTTACACCACTCTCATAATCAATAGTTACGCAATTTCTTTTATCAGCCAATTTTAAATTGAACAAAGTATTGACATTTTTTAAGATATTAAATACTAACTTGTTATAAATAAAAAGTTTACACTAAGTTAAATATAAATTACTTGATATCTCATTTTTTTTTTTAAATGGACTTACACCACTTTCAAAATAAACGGCCCATATTATATCTGTCTTTAATTTTCAGATTCCAATGTAACAAAAATAATTGTTTCAGGCTACTAGGCCGCGGCTCCATGCACGTCTTTTCCAGTGAACAATTCCAAAAATTAATGGAGACCAGCGGCTTTTCTGGGCCATGGCATTCGGTAGTGGATTTAGGGGCAGGTGACGGTGCCACCACTGCTCACGTAGCTCACCTATTCGAAAAAGTTTACGCTACAGACATATCAGCACCGATGAGATGGGCCTTGGCGAAAAGGAAATTTACGTAAGTCACGTTCAATCTTTCCTTCAATTTGCATCCCCCGAAGTGAAAGTAAAAAGAGGCAAAAATCCATTTGTAACTTGTACTTAACCGGGTGAAATGGCTGAATAGAAATTTTGAGAATCCACTATACGCTGGGGTGATACACGGAATTTGGGAGATCTTTATTTTATGCACACGTGTCACTGTTTTTATTGAAATTTCACGAGTCCACGAGTGCTTGAAATGTACAGTACACGGCAAAATAATAGCGCTATCTATAATTTCTTGTGCCTCTTGAAACTAATGGAATGTATGCAAATGTTGCATACGTATCCGTATAATGTTTCCCTTTTTTAGACCTTTTACGAGTACGATCAATACAATGAAATTTATGTCAGCAATATGACAGCAATAAGAAGAAAATTCTAAGATTATATCGGTAAAATTGGGAAATAATTCAACGATATATGCAGTATTTACATTACATTTAGTGGAGATATGGACTGTGGTGGCGCTAGGGTCAAATGAAAACTGGTTATGGCTGCTTTCAAACGCCTACTCGCGAAAGGATTAATCCTTATAGTACTTTATAAATTTTCCAAGTATCTGCTAAAAATATCTTAAAAACTATACAATTTTTGAGGCATCTGTTAAAATTAACATGTTTCTTCTGCAAAATTAAGATACTTTTTCGCATCTTTTTTTATTTTCTGCGAGATGTATATAGTTGTATAATACTTAAGAAAGAAAGGAAAATGATATCCTATAAATCAAAATTGTATTATTACATTATTTATTTAAATTATATTAAAAATGGAATGGAATGTATTGGCTCTAAGGTACTAAAAGGGTTAATAATACAGGGTATTACATAATTGAAAAGGATTGAATTAATTAATTTTTTAATGTTTTTATAAATATTTGTGAATTTGCGAGCTTCCTAGAAAATTTAGTGGACGACTAAGGTATCATTAATCAAGTATGTTTTATTACCATATATTTTTATTATGCCTGTAAGAAATGAAAGTAAGTTAGTAAATACTTTAATTAAATAAATTAAGATAAATCAAAAAAGCTTATTGAGAGAAAAATTAAACCAGAAAATTGAAGCATGTAGGATTAAGATCGTTTGGGATATTTATTGAATGTTAAAAATTGATATATAATTAATAATAAATAAATAAATTTGTTTTAATAAGTATTGAAATTATATGTATATATAACAAACAACTGAAAGGTTCATATCGAAGCATCCCTTGTCGATTTATCAATTTTTAAAGAGAAAAAGAAATGTCAGACAAAAAGTTATTGGAATAAAAGCTCAAAATAATCGATGAGGATCGTTTTCGACGTAAACCCTTCAATTTTCTTCGCTAAAAGGTGACGACGAATGAGAAAGCTTATCAACACCTAGCCTAGAACACACACTCTTCGCTCATGGAACACACGGACTCTAGAAGCTGCTCATAGTTGCCTAATTAAGCGGGTAGTCGCTTAAACCAATGGTACCCGAGAGATGGCGACACACCTAACCTCGCAATGTCGTCGTGGACGATGCATGTAATAGCCGTGGTGCGCTACTAACAAGTTTATGGCACCGAATTGATTGGAGTAGAGGTTTACGATGGTTTTATACCCGACCTGTCTCGCGTCGATACGGTTGCATCCGAGACTGTTCGAATTTTAAGTAAATGTCCGTAGAGTGCGATGTACCCGTAACGTTTTATAGAAATCCGTTTGCTCTTTTCCAGACGAGTTTAGAACCCCCTCTCCCCCTCCGTGATCTATAGGCGCGAATGAAGATCTTCGACGAGAAATAGCAAGAGAAGTACGTGTTAACACCAAGAATACGAGATAGTAGTTAGAGATGCAGTCATCGTAGAGTAAAGAGTAACTTTGATTCCGATCGTGTCCAAGGTGCGGCATTATGTGGGACCCCCAGTTGTAGAGAACAAATTCGATGCTTGAAAATAATAAAAGAAAAATAGGTTTGTACGAACGTATGGTTGATTTTGCTTTGCAATTACGACTAATTTTATGACTAATTTTTATTCTAATCGCTGTCATTTTTATGGTATGTACTTACTTACAGAATGATGATATCCTTATGGCTTGATGTTATGCAATTTTTCTTATTCTTTTTGTTTTCTTTTTTCTTCATTTTGTTTTATTTTTTAGGAAGTTTACTGTAGGTAGTGATACCTGAGCTTATTAATTGGAGAAAATTTTGTGAGATTCGACAGGAGGACATGGATAAATAGAATAACAATAACAATTAAAACAATATTTAATCTGCCTTACTGCTCTTTAAGATTATTTTTTTCAATTTTTAATTTTTATCTTTAATTTTTATCTTAATTTAACATTGTATTTTTTAAATCTATGTATTATTCTTTTTTTATTTTTATCCAAAAATATCTTCTGATTAACTAAATCAAATTTCGTTGATTTAATATCATTTGTTTAGATAATTTTTATTTGGTTAAATTATTGAAATATAAAATTTATTACTTGTAAGCAAGATAAAGTTATGTATATACGAGTATATATGGTAGTGTGAATATATTTTATTGTTTTTAAGTATTGGATGTACTAAATCATATCCCACAAATAATGTTGCACCCTGTTACAGTATTCATATTTTAAAAGTATAACAAAATAAATTATTTGAATTGTAATTGTGTAATTTTTAGTTTAACTATTTTGAAGTCCAATAAAATATTGCTAAAAAAATTTAATATTTATCGATTAACATTCAACTTTTAGTTCAATGTGATTATATGATATGACAGTTGCACATTTAATTACAATCTTAATATTTAGTATATGTGATATTTATGGAAATTTAAAAAAATTTCTTTACAATCTAAAATATAGTTCAAATATAATATTAATGCATATATATTTACCAACAAAACATGTAATTTATTTAAATTAATTAATATGTGCAATATCAATAGTATTAAATTTTTTATGCAAATATTCATGTATCTAAATAATGTGAAAACTGCACAATTTATTATTCTTAGAATCGATTAGATTTATCGTATACGTATTAATACATGATGCAACTTTTAAATATTAAAAATAAAATTATTAAGCATAACAATATTAAACTCTCAGTAAAAAATGTGATGCGGGCATTATGCTTAAATCTTTAAACAAATATGTATTTTTATATGGCAAAAGCAAAACAAAATTTAAAGCAAATCTAATTTTACCACTTCTTCCTCTTATTATTTATGATGATCTACTCTCACCTTTCATTCCTCTTTTCTAAAAATTTTACAATAATACTAACATTATTATTATTTACATATCTACATATTAAAAAAGAATTATAAACAATGCGGTAACTTTATATTTACATAAAAAAAAGTTAATAGTAATAAAATGTTTAATACGCAAAAATTATTCCAGATAACAGTTAAAAAAACTTCAAATAATAAATATTTTTCATCAGATATAAATTTTTCAAATATTTGATATCTTTTGTCATTTTTCCTATCTTATCTTACGTATTTTTTTTAAATAACTAGCACTATTGTTAAAACTAATTTATAATCTATCGTAACTAATTTATACGACTATCCTTACATTTTTTAAATTCAGATTTTACTTAAAGCGACGAAATTATTAAATTTTTGTAATTTATCGTTAATAATCAATTTTAATAATATTTAATAAATTAATAACCGTAAGTCCAAAACATTTATCATCGACTTCTTAAAACTCTTATTTGAATTATTGTTTGCGATTTTTAATAATTTTAACATTTGTGTGAATTGTTGATTCAAATAAAGTACTTTATATGTTTCTAATCAAAATGTAAAATGCTTTAGTTTTGTGTATTTACTTATTTCCACAAATTTATTGTTTTTAATGACACAAAATATAGAAAGAAAAATTATTAAATTCAGTAAAACAAGAATCTTGATTAAATTTTAATTTTTAAGATCATTTTTTTTTCGAAATATAAAAATCATCGGTATTATCTTACAATTAGATTTATCATATCGTTACAACTAACAATGAATAAAATTCATTGACGATGTATACTATGTTCGTTACTTTTCCTTTTTGCATATAAAGCATTAAATTTATGTATTATATAAATTTATGTAAAATTCAGTTTAAAAATAGTTACAATCGTTATTTTGAATTTTAAGAAAAATGTACAACTATCCTTAATTTATTACCAAAAAATGGAACAAAATTGTAGAAACCAATCTAAGTACTGTACATATTTTGCGTCATTAAAAATATCAAAAATACAGAAGCGAGAAAAGTAAATAAAACATAGTTTATAAGAACATAGTCTAAATTGTTTCTGTTTTTACAACGTATAAATTTATCAATTTCATACTGATTAGTATATTCATTATACAAAGTAAAAAATGTCATTTAAAGTTTTCAGAATTTAACAGTAAAATAAAAATAAAAATGTTACAAGGTTAAAAAAATAAAAACATGAAAATAAAAAGAAGGTTTGATTAAATTAGTTTCTATATAATTTATTAAATAACTTATTTATGAATTGTCAAATAAATTGAATAAATTTGAAATTTATCAAAAAGCGATATTCATAAAACTATTTAAAATTTTATTAGGAAATTGCATTTCGAGTTACCTATAATTCTATATACCCAAAGATCCTTTTACAAATTCTCCTCTTAGAATCAGTTGGTATACTTTGACCAAATAACACGCAGATAAAATTTCAAATTATTAAATAAATCGTATAAAATGATAAGAAAAAGTGTTTAACACCTAGTGTGGTTTCATTATAACAACATATCATCATCTTTTTCAAATTTCAAACAGGACACGTATATAATATGCTATGAGAATGAAATAGAAAGAAAAACATACATTTATTATGTTTTAGGGTACTGGATGTAGAGAAATGGTACGAGACTGGTCCCTTCAACGTGATCCTTTGTCTGAACCTATTGGACCGTTGCGATCGACCTAACACTCTACTTCGACGTCTGAAGTCGTCTTTGGCTCCAGGAGGTCGTCTGGTCATAGCATTGGTTCTTCCCTTCAGCCCTTACGTGGAAGTTGGTGAAAGAGACGATCACAAACCATCGGAATATCTGCCAGTAAAAGGGAACGGTCTAGAAGGTCAAATAGCTAGCCTCGTCGACAGAGTTTTCGCGCCATTGGGTCTAAGGTGTCTAGCATGGAGCAAACTGCCTTACCTCTGTGAAGGAGACCTACGTCAGGCGTATTACTTTCTCGACGACGTGATATTCGTTCTAGAGGCACAGCCAGTTAGTACACAATCCTGTGAATTTTTAGGAATAAACGTTTCTAAAGTCTCATACGCTAGAAGCTTTTAGGATAGCCCGCGATACTCTGCTTCCGATTGGATAGATACAGTGTCACCTGGTGGAGAACGCTGCAACAACATACTCGAGCAACAGGCTGGTCACGAATGGAAATGTAATACAGGCAAGTCACACTTGTAAAAACTTTAATGATTGCTGTTCATCAGTTAGAATTATGCAAGAATACAGAAGAGCAATACTGGCAAGCGACAACGAGCTTAATGTGCAAATACAGCGGTAGCATTGGTGTATTATAATTCATCATCGTCATCGATTGTCCATTTATGCGATTGATAAACGAACAACGACGGTGCGCATTTTACAATGATCTTACTGTCAAAGTCAGAAGGTGCAGAAAACTTGTACACGGTTCCTATTGGTATTAAATATGACATGAGAGCGATAAAACTTGGAAACTGGATTCTGAACAACAGTTCACACGGTCGCGACCCAACTTCGCATACATCTAAAACGTTTAATTTGTCTCGAGACTTGGTTTTTTGTACCTTTTATCATCAGACTTTGTTTCCGTGCTCCCTCTTTCGTTTTTTTTTTTTCTTTTTTTTCCTTTTATTTGGCATACACGTAGCGTCTTAGTCATGGATATGCTTAGTCGTGTCGACGCTTCGACAACAAGACAAACGGTGATACGTTTGCGTTAGTCTCATAATAGCTACTAGAAGAAATAGGTCCATTTAGTTGTTGCAAATACACTTTGGCGTGTAACAGGTAAATCGTCAAAAATTACTTAGATAATATTGCAGCAGCCTTACTTTAAGATCATGTCGATTAACAAAAACAAAAAATATACAGGACTTAAATTTCGGTGATATTTCAGGTCGAATGTGTTGCGCAATGAATAACATTTTGTGTGCCAAATGTGGATGACCTGTAACTAAAACCACAACTTGTACCAGCTTTGCGTGGTAATCTCAGGCAGAGTCAAAACACAGGAAACTGCAGAATTGATTCACTTCTAATACTTTCAAAATCTTATAAACAACAAGTTTAAAATTCCATTCAACTATAAATTTTATTCTTAAATTAAATCAACAAAATGCATTTATAAATTTATTTTTACTTTTTTCAATATTTTACCTAGCAAAATAAAATAACTAAGTTAGTTTAAGATATGAAGAAAAATATGAATAAAATAAAATGAAGGTAAATTTGATGTTTTACTTTTCATGTTATTTGTATATTGTTATATATGTACACCCACACCAGGTACACATAATGAGACTAAATCATAGCAAACTATAAAAATGACATGTATTTGTTGTCTTTGTTCAATATTCATATCTAGTAACATCTATAATTCTGCAGCCTGTACAAGCAGAAAAATGTTTTAAAAAACATATATCAGATAATATAACTAATTTTTAAATACTCTTTATATTTTCTAATATTTCTCCTAGACATTATATTTTACTATTAATAATTTTCTCAATTTAATATACTTTCCAGTGAGTATAATTAATATTAATTTTATTTAGCTGGAATATTTATGTTGTTTAAATAACATGAATTATCATAAAACATTATTTAAAGTTTTAAAAAAGTAAATATTTTTCTAACTAACATCCATGACCAATCAATACGAAATTTGTAATTTGAAGTAGTAGAAGAAGAAAAATCTGAATCTAAAATTTTAGTGTCAGATAATTAATAGTTTCCGAGTAGATACATAACAATATAAACTTCTGTATTTATAGGACGACTTCCCATGTAAAAACGACTTCTCTTTTTAACCATTAATGATAAAACGTTATGATAATAATGATTAAATAATATACTCTATACATCTCAAACGATAAATAAGTTGCAGAATGTTTTTTTATTAATATTTTGGAAATTATTAAATCCCTGAAGTTAAAATTTTAGATTTAGGATCTATTCTTCCTCCCCCTTTCGCCCTTGCAAATTTCATGATGATAAGCTGTGGGTGCTATTCAAAAGTATAACCTAAAAATGTAAAATGCAATCATTTTCAGTACAAACTTGCAATATTGATTTAAATAATTCCTAAATAAATTGGAATTTTATTATATTACATTGAAGATATCAAATTATCAGCTTGTATATTAATAATGAAAAGATTATCATCATATTACATATTTTTTAGTATTGTATAATATATTAAACAACATTAATGGATCTAAACAAAATTAATGGAAATACTTCAAACGATTAAAATTACCCCCTATCATATATAGCAAAAATGTAAGAATATTTAAACTTAAAAGAAGAAATTAAAAATATAGCACACATACAGGTGTATCGTGCAAATCACAGAAACCTGAGCCCTGTTAACAATTGATCGACATATTCACTGCAGATGTTACAAATAAATATACATGCGTTTTATAACAGACACGTCTATAGAAAGTTATCTAAGAATCACGCATTCACACACGTTCATATAAAATTTTGCTATTTGATAGCCGAAACTTTACATTCACCGAACCTGCGTACAAAGAAGATTCTAACATTCATTCATTTCCCACGCAATCATTACACAAATTTATTGTTTATATTCAGAAACATATAGTTCATATTTTGATATTATCGAGCAAGAAGGAAACATTTTACCATCGCAGATATGCGTATAACAATTGAGTTTAAAACGATTTTACTTCTACAACCAAAATAAAATGCATTTTATCGAAGGATTTCGATTGAGATAACGCATAATATTTATTTTTCTTTTTTTTTTTCTTCTCAATTTATCACTCATTTCGTGGTTGCCAGAGGTAATACCGTTTATAAGTAATATTAGTGCACAAAGAGAAAATTTTGAGCATCAATGTAAATCACGCTTCAAAAATTTTCTAATGTCATTTTTTATTATTTTCTTTTTTTAGTCGTATATAGTAACGAAATAATTTATTTGTCGAAAAATATTTATTGAATTGACCAATGATTTTTTTTTTATATGTGCACACCGCATGTTACTGCCCATGGAGCTTATAAATTATTACAAGTTTTAACATTAACTTGTCAGATAATAATACTAGACATAACAACAATATATGTTTGACCTATTTTTATAAATAAACAATAATTTATACAGTACAATTTTTAAGAAACGTATATATATATATATAGAAATTGAATATCTAATTTAACTAGATAATTTTGTCATAATTTTAATTATTTGAATCAAAACAATATCTCATAGCCGCGTAATAAATATTCAGAAATTAAATAATGCGAGGTCGTCGAGCGACAACAAGAATTACAATTGCTTATTTATACTCTCGTATTTAGAGTATTTATAATAATATCTAATTAGCAAACCTTTCATGCTTACATGCAAGACTAAATTTAGTCTTTACACCTTGTTTAAACTTCCAATACGTACATAAGATTTACTTATATAACAAAGAATCTTTATAATACAATGTTGATCAGGTAATCATTGGAACACAAGTGGTGAACTGTTAAATCAATGCACAACAATAAAATATAAATGCCATTTTCTAATACATATTTATAATATGCAAATTATTTATCTTGAAGTAGATAATTCAAAATTATCTTACCACACTGTTTTCAAATAAGCCCCATAGGCAGATCATAAAAATTCGAAGAAAACTTATAGCAATAAAATAAAGCTAATTCGAATTTGAAATAACGGTGTGAGTTTCGATTGACTATATATAAATTTTTTCACTACCCACGTTTATCACAGTCCACGCATGACTCGTTTTGTCTCTTAGTATTTTGAAGTCCTAAACGCCAACAACATTTGAGCAATCCTTCGGGTTGTTTAAATATAAAACACCCATCTAACCCATATACACCACATGACTAGAACATCATAGAGCGCAAAGACAAAACTTGGTCTGCCGCTTAAAAAGCGAAGACATTTGTTTAGTCTAACTTGCGTTGTTCGCATAACTCTTCTAAACCTCCAGTCTTTCTGCATAAAAATTATAACTCTTTATTTGATATCTCTAGTCATGTAACGAGGGTATACTTAAAATATAAACCATAAGAGATACTTACAATGATGGGAGATAAGGAGTACCCGTATGATCTAATCGATGTTTATCTTCATTTTTCCAGCTTGAGACAGGAATATGTGGAGGTGGCAAGAAACTTCTTAACGACTGTACAAGCTGTATTGTATCCACTAGTGCTGTAACAAAATCAATACAAAACATATACATTTTTTCTTTATTAATGAAGAAAGATTGGTGAGATACGAAAAGTAACCACAGAAGCAGTATTTAATATCTGATAACATCAAAGTCAATATGGTATTGTGTAACATATAATTAATTTATAAAAAAAATTTATTTGTAACTTTACAAAAATATTATATTAAAAAATAGATCATGATAGATTATGCATTTTATTACTTTTTTGCAAAGCTTCTGATTGTTTTCCATATGGTTTACACATTGCAGGACGTACACAAGCTTTCATTCTTGCCATATTCTTCATAACTTCTGCAAAAGCCCTTACTATTTTCTCTTGTCCTCCTATAAAATAATAAAAATTTTATTCAAAACTTGTTATTTAACATATAATCTCAAAGATTATAAGATTAAAATGTCTTTTTAAAGAATAAACAAATGTTTTGTTTTTAAACATAATTTATATTTTAATTTACTGTACTACAAAGTATTATAAAAATCTTATATAAAAACTAAAGTCTCGAAGACTAGATGATTATTATATTATTTTCAGTTTTTGTGATTAATTCCAAATATAACTTTAATTTTATAGACTAAATGTTATATGATCTATTAATTTGAATTTCATAGATGGAATACTGTATAACTTACTAACCTTCTGAATTTGAAGATGCCCGAGATCCTTTCTCATTTTCCAATGGCCAAGCTCCATTATGTAAAGCTAATAAATCCTTATTCGCATTCCCTATTCCTTGTAGATTTCCCAAACCTAATCCACTGAGGTTGTCCAAATTATCCAAATTTGTTCTTAAGAAATCTGTTAATTTATGATCAGACATTGGAATATTAGGTACTAAGGATTCATAATGCTGCTTTCCAGTGGCTACTTTCTTTTCTTGTGACACAGGTCGATGTGGAATATTTAATGATGGACGGCTTGGAGGACGTTGAAGATTCATTTGGTTTCCAGCACCTCTCATTTCTGCCAAATCTGCTGTTGATCCTCCTCCCATGTGAGTATTTGGATTAGCACTGCTTAATGTCTATAATGTAAAATTATGAAATGTAATCGATTTTTATAAACAAAAATAAATTTCAAATCTGTGTACATCAATAACAAAAGAACTCTTATGCTTACTGCTTGAAAATCTGTATTATGAGGAAAACTACTACGTAAGAGAGAAGCTGTTGTTTCATTTTCTTGAATGTAAGTTGGCGCCATATGTCCCATTTTTAATTCAAGGTGATTTTTGTAATAACGGCAAGCAGGATTTGGACAATTTTGTACCACCTCTATTATAAATTCTTTTTCCATACCAAAACATTCTCGCCCAATAGTGTATGATTCCATAACAGCTCTAACTGTCCCTTCTAAGCCCAAATGTAGACCATGTGGACCATTCATATGCTTTAACATCACAGCATTTGCAAAATGTTCATAGGGCAATATTATCTTTCCATTTTCTCTAAGAACTAATCTTCCCTGAGAGTCCAAAGCTATTCTTGATGCCATCATCCTATTTATATATTATAAAATATGTATAAACAATACAAATGTTGTCAATCTTATGTGAAAGATTATGTTTTATGAAACCATTAATGAATATTAATGCATATTAATAAAAAATAAGAAATTTTATATTCTTACTGCAAGTAAGCAGCACTTGGAATCATAGATGCATCCTTGAATTCAGAAAAACATTGCAGTAGTTCGATGCTTGGATTCCAACCTTTGTTTTGAAGATAGGCTTGTAATAACATATACATCTTTTCAGTAACATAACCAGCACTACTTGGTGTACCAGGGTAACCAGATCCTCCACCTGGTGGTCCCATTTCGGTTTGCATACCTTTGGCAACAATGTTTTTCATAGTTTCTGCCAAGTCCATTCTGTATAAATAAAATCATTTGCTTTAATTGTGTAAAAAGGAGACATAATTTTTACAATTGGAAAATTAAAAAGCATATTATAAACATTAAAGTAGATTAAAATCAATTGCTAAAGTTATGTGTAATTTTATGATGTAAATTTTTATAGGAGGTAACATAATCTTAATTGGCAGAATATCGTTAATTTCAATCTTACGATTATATTATAAATCAATTTACAGAATTGTACAGATTGTATAATTAATTCGTACAAAACTAATGTTCAAAATATTAAGATGTACAGTAGCCGTACCGATGCTAATTGACACATGTAATAAAAAAGGGTCAGGAAAATGTGTGTAGGTTGCCAGGGTAGCAAGCTTGGCATTTTAAAAATCCATGCATATTCAAATCCTCCGGCCATTGTTATTTTCGGGATGAAGACGTCTAAAGAAACGATAAAAAAACACTGATGCGAGCCACCGCCCCCCTTTAAAAGCGGGGGGAATGAACGTTTTGGACACTCACCCCGTACCGAGCACGACTTTCACTCACTCGAAGTGTAACCGGGAACACTACAGGACCCGTTTATTACCCTAATCGCCGCTACTTGGCATACCCTCATTAATGATTCTCCTCACATTTACAAATAACATAAATCGTGATAATTATTTCCGCAAGGATTGTTTGCGCGGCTGGCCGCCAGAGGCGCGTTACCTTCACGATTTTTAGCGTATCCACGTATGTATACACCTACATTTCAGCGCTTACGCGACGCCACTTTGCGCATTTATCAATATTACTTTTTGCAACTGATATTAGTTCGATAGTTTTCAAATGTTCCCGATTAAATTAACTGAGAATCGTATATCATGATTTTGATTTGACCCAATCTGTAATATTTTATTCATATTTTAATAACAGTAAAATGTTATATTTTCCGTAATATACTTAATATTTGTATTTGACTATATTGTATTTAATTAAATGGTATAATTATATCTTCTAAAATAAGTCAATTATTTTATATTTTGTATGTTAAAAATATGAATAGTTAAATACTCACATATAATGTACATAATATTTAATAATAGTAATTTTTCATTTTAATATAAATTTACATATTATATAATTAATATCTTAATATTACTTTTATAAATCCAATAGTTCTTATAGTATTTATTATAAATTTATAAATATGATATTAAACAATATAATCTGACAAAGATTTTTTCATATTATTTATGAAAATTTATTATTTATAAAAATATTACAAAATTGTAGCAATGTGTACTGAATTCAACATTTACTTTCTTAATTATTAATGGCGTATGCATTAAACAATGTATGCAATTAATATAATAAAAATAAATTTATATCTTCAATTATTTACTATTTTGTTTACTTAGTAATTATGTATATGCATAAAGAAGAATTATAAGTAAATATAAATCCATGCATGCTTTCATTCGCTACGTTAATTATAATAATAAGTATCATAAACGATCGGTTCATATTTATTTTATGATTTAGATAATATTTACTTTTATACTTATAGTGTTCGCAACACTATATATTAATTTACTCTTATCCATGATCATATTAAATTTTAACTTTAAAGAAAATTCAAATTTAAATTGCTTGTACAACAGTGATACCAATTACAAAAACAGAAACAATATTCCAAAGAGCGTAAACATGGCCTCGCGGTATAATCACGCTACTCAGCGAGTTTTAGCAAAATTAGAAGCATCCATAAATTCGGAAAATTATTATGAAGCTCATCAAATGTATAGAACTTTATACTTCAGGTGGGCCAACAATATAATTAATCAACATCGTCAAAGAATCGTTTTTATACAGTCATTGATATGATTGCTTAACCTCTCTTTCCAGATATCTTGGGCAGAAAAAGTATTCGGAACTTTTGGATTTACTATACAATGGTTCAACTGTTTTATTACAGCATGAACAAGTATGTAATCTATTTTGTTTTTTTTATTCTTATTAATTTTATAAATATATCATTAATCGTAATATTTTCAAAATGATGTCATAATACCCATTCCTAAATGTTATTTACAAATTCATTTCTCGAACAATCTATAATTAAATTTCATTGTCAGTTATCATTAATGTTTGCTCTATTAAAATTCTTTTTTATAAGTAAAAAAGCTGAAATATTCTAAAATATTCTAAAATATAAAAATGTGATTATTTTATTTCAATTGATAAAAATATATAATATCGAATTATATATTTTGCAATCATATTTGCAATTATTCATTCATATTATATTAATATAACAATATTGTTATATTATTTTTTATTATTTGTAGCATGCAAGTGGAGCTGATGTAGGAATTTTATTTGTAAATGTTTTAACGCAATCAGGAACAGAACCTTCTCAAGATTATTTTGAAAAAATTACAAACTTGTTCAGTATAATGAGTTCCTTATCACCTGAAAGAGATGTATTTGTACAATATGCTCTTCGATGGAGTATAAAAGGTACAGAATATAAAATAGGTCACCCAGATTTACATCAGAAGATAGCACAAGTATTTTGGAGAGGTAATTAATTCAAAATAGTAAATATTTTAAATATGAAATCATTATTGGAATAATATATATATTTTATCTTTTTTTTTTCTAGAAAAAAATTATGTAATGGCAAGGCAACATTTCATATATAGTAGAGATGGTTCTGGATGTGCTGCAATGCTTGTTGAACTTCATGAACAACGTGGTTATAAGAATGAAACAGATCTTTTTATAGCACAGGCAGTTTTGCAGTAAGTATATACTACATTAATTTCAATATTCAAATTATATCTAAAGTACTGAAAAACATTATAATAGATATTTAAAGAGAACTATTATTTTTTTTCAGATACCTCTGTTTACAAAATAAAACAACTGCACAGGAAGTTTTCAATTCTTATACTTCACAACATCCAAAAATAAACAGTGGTCCACCATATCTTCTTCCTTTACTGAATTTTCTATTTTTTTTACTAAAAACAGTTGATAGGTGAGTATAAACTTTGATTTACTTACCTAATAAATAAAGATATAATTTGTAGTAATATACATATTTTGTACTTCATATTTTTCAGTGGTAAACTCGCTGTGTTTACAGTACTTTGTGAACAATATCAAATATCTTTAAATAGAGATCCATGTTATCGACAGTACTTAGATAAAATAGGGCAATTATTTTTTAATGTTCCATCTCCGCGGCCTCGTAATCAAGGATTAGTTGGTACACTTTTACAATCTTTTTTTAATGGTCTTGAAGATGAAGGTTCAGATGATGAACAAAGAAATACAGCTTCAACTTCGCAAACAGCACAAGAACTTGACTGATTAAAAGTTACATGAACATGAACTTTTACATATATACATATATATGTACGTGTATGTGTGTATGTGTAAAAAGTATATATAGTGTATAGTATATATATATACTATAGTGGTACTGTATAGTATATATATATACTATAGTGGTACTGTATAGTATATATATATACTATAGTGGTGTCCCATATATTTTCAATACACGCATTGTGTTGATCTGTTAGATCTTCAAACACTATACCGAAATTACTTTTCTTAAATGACTTGTACAGATAAACTTATTTAAAATAAAAATATGTGGGATGCATTCCTAGAGGAATTTTTCAAAGTTATAAGTTAGAAACATTTCCCAAAAATCCATTCATCAAAAAGTAAACCTGCATGAATAAAAATATTTGAGAAATGACTTTTCATATATATCTTTCTTTTTATTACCGAGGTCTATTTTGATACTATATTTGAAGTATTATTTGATATGTTGGTGCTTAGTCGAAACTTTTAAACAGAACATATAGAATCCTATTTAAATATCACTGTGAAACTTAAAAACAAACTTGAACTTTGAACAAAATCCTTAGACTAATAATAATCTATACAGTAGATTTCCGTATAACATGGTTAATATGTTACGCGTTGTTCGAATTTACGTTGTAGGAAATTGTTTTAGATGAGAATTTTCTTCGTATAACACGAATAACATAAACTAATGTTTGGAACAATTATCGTCATGTCAACTTTTGTTTTATGTTGTATCAATTAAGACAGTTCCTAATTTCATATAAATTCAAAAAAAAAATAATTTAAAAAATTCATTATAGTTAGTTAAGCAACCCAAAAATCAGTTTCGTAGCATTGTTTATTATATAATCCGTTATATGAAAACACTAGTCACAATATATTTAGCCTGTTATAGAAATTCGTGTTGTAAGAACTCGCGTTATATAGAAGTCTATTGTATATGATAACGTATGTTCGAAAAAAATTTGTATTTGAGTGTAATTGCTAAAATGAAGATTTATTTTATATAAACTTAATCGTGTGACAAATAAACGTGACATATACACCTATAGCTACAGAGAAGGAGTACTTAATGGTATTACTTGTTACTGAAGTACTAAATGAGTGAAATGAATCATACATAAATAACTGTCATAGCAGGAAATAAAATATTTATTTATCACGCTCTATAATAATATGATTTGTCGTTTAAAAATTTTAGTAAAAATAGAATATATATTTAATTATGAAAATAAAGTGGCCATGATTCTGTAATAAAGCACTTTTCAGTACTAATAAGAATAATGTACAATTGCTGTGTATTGAATTGAAAAATATAGGGAAAAGCATGATCAAGGATATAGATTTATAAGTATATACATATATAAACATATGTGTATTCTTGTAGTATATATATATAGTATACAAAATATCCCTTTATTATGGGTATAATAGCTTACTTTTGTATGATTTTTGGACACAGCAAATATTGGTATCGGCACACACAGCAAAAATGCAATTAAGTTTGTTACAAACATGGTTACACTCTACACAGAAATAAATTAAATTTTGTTATTAAAATAGATTTTTCATATAATGCATTAACAAAAATGATATGTAATTGTTCTCCATATTAATACATTGATATAATTTTACACGTATAATTTAAGAAATTATTAAAATTTATATCATATTATATATGGACACAACTTTTAAAAAATTAATGATCATACAATAATAAATAAATTCATATATAAAATATAGGAATACTCCATATATAAATATTATAGATAACATAATAGTAAACAAAAATACTATCCAAATAGAAATTTTATATCATACACAATCATAACATGAAATTGTTTATTCCAAATTCATTTTTAAAATATAACTATGATGGATAAATAAGCACATTGTTTACTCCTTTTTTAAGGTGTTTTAATTAGAAAAATTAAAAAATTAAAATTTAACAAAGAATATAAGGAATTAATTATAATTAGCTATTTAGATGTCTAACTAAATTAATTTCTATTAAACAATAACTGAATATATTTAATAATGATGGGTATATGATATTGTAAATTTATTATAACATTATAATTGCAAATCTTATACTGGTTGATAATAATGCAGACTAATTTATATAACACCAATGAAATATCAATTATCAATACATAAATGAATCTTGATTGCTGAATAGAACTATACATCTCCAAATAAAAAAATATGAACACGATATTCAACACTATAATATATTTGAATAAAAAAAATAATTTTTATTTAGAATTGGTGCGAATTAAAATATAGTGATGGGAATACTTCAACAATTATAATTTTAAACAAAAATTATACAAATAAATAATAATAATAAATCCTTTTTATTTGTAATAATATAAGAAAAAAATTTAAATATTTGTTTGTATAAACTTAAAATTATATTTTCAAATTTTTTTAATTTGTATTAATAGTAATTTATAAAAATGAATTCACTTTACATAGATAAAAATTTAATTACATATACAAAATACATCTATATTTAGTTGTAATAATACATGTACAAAGTTTTTATAAATTGGTAAAAAGAGTACGAAATTTATTATACTATGTAAGCAATGCAATATTGTAACTCACATAATCTAATATTTTTAAAATGTAATTAAAAATTTTCTTCTATTTAATTTCTTAATGTACCCATAATAAGCATTTTTTAAATAATTTATATCTGTAAAAATATTGCATATGTATATAAATACATATTTCACACAAAATTCATATATGTATATATTTATGTTCCTTATGAGTAATCATTATAAAACAAGTACAATATTTTTGATTATTTTTTATTACAAAATTAATTAAAAATAAATTGAATATTAGACATTATATATATATATAAATTTGTATAACGTTAGATCAAGGGTAACATCATTGATCAGAATAATATTAATATTCTTTAAAACCAGGAATAGGAAATTGTCTAGAAAACGCTTCAACTTCTTCTCTTAAAGCTGTAACTTTTGCTTTTATGTTTGGATTAGAACTTAATACATTTTTATAATTAACAAGCTTAGGACCAGAGATTTTAGTCACTTCCTTAGCGAGTAACAAGCCTAGAAAATATTCAGAACATTTTTATACATTTTTTGGATTACTTTATATTTTATTATATTATATTGTTCTTTGTAATACAAAGCAAATACCTCTGTGTATGAAATCGACAACTTTATCAATATCTTCTTCAACTAAACCACGGGTGGTTAATGCAGGTGTACCAAGTCTAATACCACTGCAATTTACTGCACTTTTATCACCAGGCACTGTGTTTTTATTACAAGCTATGGAAATACTTTCCAAAATCTTTTCTGCTTTAGATCCTGTAATACCCATAGATTGTAAATTTACAAGTAGCATATGAACATCAGTTCCATCTGTACTGATTTTATAACTGTACTCCTGAAGCTTGGAACATAATCTCTTTGCATTAGCTATAATTTGTTTCTGATACTGGATAAACTCTTCTGATTTAACTTGTTTCATTGTTGTAGCTATGCCTGCAATTGCATGATTGTGAGGCCCTCCCTGTAGTCCTGGAAACACAGCTTGATTAATTTTATCTTCTAAATCATACATAATTTTTTGACCATTTTTGTCAATGCTCTTGATTCCTCTACGAAAGAAAATAACACCAGCTCGAGGCCCTCTAAAAATGATAAAAAATGAAATATTATTTACATTTAATGACAAAATAATAAGCTATATTTTATTTCCTAACAATTACCTTAAAGTCTTATGGGTTGTAGTAGATACAACATCACTATATTCAAATGGGCTAGGAATTAATTCAGCAGCAACTAATCCTGATATATGGGCCATATCACTGAATAGATAAGCATTATTTTCATCTGCTATTTCTCTAAATCGTTTGTAATCTAAACATCTACTATAACATGATACACCTGCTATTATAATTTTAGGTTTAAATAAACTTGCTTCTTCAGCTAACTTATCATAATCAATTAAACCAGTTTTTGGATCAACTTTGTATGGCATTGATTCAAAAAATATTGATGTAGCAGAAACTTTCTTATTTGAAGTAAAAAAACCTAAATTGTCCATATAAAATACTTCAATATCTTTAACTTTGATTTGTAACATTTTAGTAAATTTCTAAAAATTTGTTATACCATGTGTAAGATGTCCTCCATCAGGAAGATCTAAACCCATTATACGATCATGAGGTTCAATTAAACCTGTATAAACAGCAAAATTAGCTGGACTTCCTGAATATGGTTGTACATTGCAACCCCATTCCTCAGGATCTAAATTAAATGCTTCTAAAGAACGTTTTTGTGCCAACAATTCAATTTCATCAATGTATTCATTTCCCCCATAATACCTAAATATATAATTTTAACAATTAATGAAAATACAAATGATACAAAAAAAAATTATTGTGGTAAGTTATAAATAGCATACCTTTGACCTGGAAGACCTTCACTATATTTATTATGAAGACAAGAACTTAAACATTGAAGAACACTCAGAGAGGTAAAATTTTCACTAGCAATCATTTCAAGGCCAGACTCTTGTCTTTGTTTTTCTTTTTTCATTAATTCAAAGAGTTCTGGGTCTGTTTCCCAGACATTTTTATAAAGTATATTAGCCATATACTATATCAATAAAAATAAGATAAAACTTTTTATCATTCATTTTATACATTAAAATATAAATTAACAGATCAAATTATCGAGCTTCTATTATTTCATCGATTTTATTAAGCTTGAAAAAGATCGATACTAAATTCTAATTTATTACGAAAATTAACAAATAAAGCACGAATAGTGAGGTCGTAAAATCGATTAGACATTGAAGTAAATACATTCAATTATCGAGACAAGTCATTAACATTAATACGATTACACCATTTTACGATTATCGAATTCAAAGTTAGAATTCTGAGTACTACAGCATCAGTCAGTGCTGATTCTTACAGATTTTATCTACGGCCTCGTTATATCTTAACAATTTAATTTGCAACCTCGCTATATTGTATCGCACTCATGCTAAGACAAGAGAAATAGTTCAACTCTAATTCGATTATTTTTTCAAATTTTTCGACCGCTAATAATTTCTATGTCGTTGCATCTAGAAGTAAATGGTATAATTTTTCAATAGGTAAATATCATTGTTTCGTATGATTTGATTTACTATGTAACAAACAATCAAGTATTTGATTCGCTTCATGTATGCATATGACAGACAAAATTCAATGTTTAATGGTAATCTTTTTTCATTAATACTCAGAAACTAGGGCCCATCTCCCATTTTCCCAATCGAAAAAGTTGTTGAAAATAACACGCTTTAGGACATTCGTATGTAAAAATCATCAAAATCAGTGAGGTAGTAATAGTTTGATAATTTGATCAACTAAAATATATACATTTATAATAGTATTATAAAATATATACACTATATAATGAAAAGTATTCATAACAAATATATTGTAGTAGTAATAGTAACAGTATATTATTTTTCACGTATTTAACTTCATAGGGGGTATTGTAAACTAATTTTTATTCTTTTGATAAACTTCAGAGTGTTTACTGATAACCTTATATGTAACATAATGACACAATTATCTTCTTATTTATCTGAAAGCATTTTACATACACAATATACTTCGATTGTTATTATTTATTTATCATCTATTTATTTATATTTATTTATTGCATTCTTTGTAAACGCTATAATTAATACTTTTTTTTAAATATTAAAAACAATTAAAATAATTACAAAACGAATTATTCATTAAAAAATTAAAAATCAAAATGTAAATATTTTTATCAGGTAGTATACATAATAAAAGTAACATAAAAATTTCACGTATAAAATATCTTATGTAATTGTTTCAAAAACACAAACTGTATTTTTAAAATACAGATAAAATAAAATAACATAAAGTGAAATGTAAGGCTATAATAATATAAAGAATATCCTAAAATTAATTTGATGCATCCTTATACATTAATATATCTAAATTTGCACTTCCTTGTTTTGTATAGAATTCTATATTTGTAGTTTTACTAATCGTAATTATTTAAAAAAAAATGTATAAATTTGAAAAACAAATTTTTTTTGTTTATTACTAAAAACATGATTCATTATGTTATTTTAAGTCATACTGCTTTCATAATTTAAAATTCGATTTATTCTGGGTTCACACACAAATGCATTACAGGGTTCATATAAATTTTATATACACAATAAGTGAAATTTAATAGTAAGATCCTAATACAGCAAATGATATTTTTATATTTTTTCAATCAGATGAAAATTAAATACCAGTGAATATGACAAAATTTTGTGAATATATATTTTTATAGTATTTCTTAAAACTGAAATACACGCAAATATATTTAAATTAGTTTCGGAAACAATTTTTTTAGATAAATTAAAACATTTCTTTTTATATTATCGGATTGTAAAATTCATACATTTATTTCGGTGCACTAGTCATCCTTCAATTTTGATGATTTTTGAATATGTTATAGAAATAAAGATTTGAAACAATATTTTCCTTTCTATATAAGAGATTGTTTGCTTTAGTTTTCGAGGTATTCGTAAAAAACTTTCGATATTGCAACTGTACTCTGCCTATATATGCATACTGGCGGCAATGTGCTTTAGTATATAACAAATAGAAACTATAAAACAAATTTTAATTTGGAATCTGTCTTCCTTAAAAAAAGGATTATATTTACAATAGATAATTTGTAAGATAACTTACGAATTTACGTATGCCACAGGTGGTTGAAAAATCCACTTTACAATTTCGCTTGCGAAAAACTTCTGACATGGGTTGTTGAATAACACGTACTCTTATACATTGCGTGCGGTTCATAAATAAGTTCTCAGCCAATCGAAAACCAGGTAGATTTAAATTCGACCAATTAGTAATCATTATGAACTGTTTTTTAAATCATATATACGTAAATATGAAATATATAAAGTGATTAAAAAATATTATATTTTTCATATACTCTATGCGTTCAGTGCTTCATCTAATAGCACTGCCTAACCTAAAAGTTCTCAAGAAAGAAACTTAAAATTAATTGCAGCGCTATTGATATCTATAACAGGCATGTAGAGTGTATAATTTTGAAGAGTAATTATTGCATTTCAGTGTTAAAAGTGATTCAAATGATATGTAATTATTAAAATATTTAAAAATTTTTAGTTTATGTAAGAATATAAAATTGCTTTTCTATTAATTACACGAATGTCAAATAATTATAATTTTATTACTTAAAGAAGTATTTAAAATTGTAATTTATAATATATTATTAATTTATAAACAAATAAGTTCCATTTTATTTAATTATACTCAATATTATTCAATTAATTATTTAATATTACTTAATATAATATTAAATTTAAATTAATAAATTTGACAAAAAACGAAATTTTTTTATAATTGAATTAAATACATTTTTTCATTTTAATTACAAAATAAGAAAAATTAGTTATAGTTATCACATTAAAATATTGTAATCCAACAGCTGTTGTGAGCGATTAAACTTTCTAATAGTTTTCTTTTGAAAGAGTATAATAAGTTTAGACACTCTGTTATAATCTATAATCTTCTACTAATTTAATCAATATATTTTCGATGATTTTATTTCATTTTATAGTTAATAAGTTGAAAATGTTTCACTGTATCACAATGTAACTGACTATAATCTTTAAATTTTTTGTTAAGAATATACAATAACAAATTTTACGATTTTACTATACAGCGTCACAGCTTTGAAAGTATGTAGTTCACTATCAACGTACTTTCTCTAAATACACGTGTATAACGTATATGCATATCGCATTTCTTGCAGCCAATCGAGGCCACATTTTTATCAAGACTTTTTACATGTTTTCTTCTTATGACATAACACTAACCTTAAATATTTTGAACTACATAAAAAAATTAATATCGCAAAAATTATTACAATTTTTTAAAATAAAATACAAAAATTTATATAATTATTACTTAATAATTGAATTAATGATTACAAATTTGTTTAATTTAAATGCAATAACGATTGCACAAATAAAGAGATAGAAATTTGAAAATTTAACTTTTATTTAAAGAGATTAAGATACACTTACTTTATAATAGTCACTCGCTGGTTATATCTATTTTTTATAACTTCTTATATTAAATAGATCATCATCATGCAGACAACAGATTATTTTCGAATTTATTAATATCTTAATATTCAAAACCCGAAAGAATTTCAGTAATTAAAAAAAAGTTTATTATATACATTTATATATACGTTATTATCTACTGAGTGAAAATTTTAAATATTTTAATTTTATGATTGCATTCGAATTCGATATTATTTGTTCTTGTTTTATCACAATAATACAAAATTCTATTAATTGATAAATACAATGTAAAAAATTAATAAGATGTAGTTTTTTCTTCCCTTTTTTTTTATTTGTTTACTATTAGCATAAAAATAGAAATATTATAAAAATAAGAAATACCAACAGTATTTGACAAATGTAGACTTTCATTGATGAATATAGATAATATAAGGTAATTCTCTTTCTTAAATAAATTTTACAAATAAGACATTTGTATATTGAATGAATTAAGAATATTTAGAAAAAGTATTAAATTTGTTGTAAATTATTTATATGTAAAAATAATATTGAGTCATTAAATTTGTTAAGAAATATTTGTATATAAAAACATTGTGTATTATTCATAATTATTGTGACAGAATCTAATGTTTAATGATCTATAATAGATTATGATATTTGATATTGTCAAAACAAGATATAAGAAAACAACTTGCTAAATAAACCTGTTTGTAAATGCTAAACATTCTTATAAGATTGCAAAGATGTAATAACATATTTTGATTGATAAAATTTTGTTAATGATGTTTAATTTTATAAATATATACTGACGTAATTATATAGAATAAATTGTTATTTTAATATATTAAATATTATATTTAAGAATTTTTATTTTAAATAATGTTATATGAGATTCACATTCACTAGCAATGTACATATGATATTAACAACATAATTGTCAAATTATAATAATAGATTATATTAATATCTTGGTATTTTATTTAACTGTTCTATTATTAAATGAAAAATTGTTTTGTTATAATAAGAACTAATAATTACATATTGAAATATAAATAAAATGTATCAATTATTTAGAATACATATTGAAAAAAATATATCAAAATGTATGATTAAAATTACATTAAATAATTACATGATAAAACTTTTGTTTTTTTAAATCTGTTTCAAAACAATTATTTTAAAATATTGCATAAATGCAAGTGTCAAATTTCTTTTTATGTACTGAAGCTGATTATATATATAAATAATAAATACATCAACTATATTTTAAATTTACTGATATTGTTTAAACATTATTTATCCAATATATTTTTTTTATTTATATTTAATGTATTTCATTTACTATTTCAAGACACATTTACTTTATTATAAATTAAACAATATGACATGTAATATAATCATTTAAATGGTAAATAATTTTAATAACTATCTTTTATGAAAATATTCAGTACTTTGCATATAGACATATTTATAATTTTAATATTATTTTTAAGAAAAAATTAATTTAATTATGTGTATTTATGTGTAAAATTTTTATTTTATAATTCACTATTTATGTGTAAAACTTTTTCTCAACAATGAACTTCTTTTGCATTCTTTTTTATGACGAAATTCACTCCGAGTATCTTATGTATAATATTACTACATCAATTGATAAATTTATAATTTTACACGAGTTAACTTTATAACATTTTTCTAATACTAAATATTATTCAAATTCTTAAAAATGAGAAAAACATTAAAATAAATATGTTAACAGAAATTAAAACATGTGACGTTGAAATCGTGACAAATAAGATAATAAAATCATAAAATGTTCATTTTGTTCTATTTATTATCAGCTATCTCGTTTATGCATTCTGTATAGTCTTATTCATTGTATTTTGCTTTTTATTTGCATAGAAAAAAATTATTGAAAAATTATTGATAAACTTTACAATCGCAATTGAGCAGCTGCTACAATGTTAGCTGTACAAAAACAGAAATGCGTTACAATTAATTACAAGCAGTATATTATGTATCAGAAGTGCATTTTTTCGCGGATTATTTGTTACACGTGAGACTGATATTTTCGTTTTCTTTTTTTTTTCTTTTTTATTATTATAATACAATAACTTAAATAATTCTCTTCCAATATAATTTTCATATGATTTAGTGCAAAAAATACATAGTTACTATTAACATCGCCACAAGTGGTATTCATACTATCTTCAACTTCAAAATCATTGTTACTGTTAATATTCATCGAGGAACGTAACAATAAAACGTATATGTATACAATTAATATACATATACAATTGATACCTATGTATATATGAATAATAAAACATGTAATTTATATTTTTATAGTTTCCAGGAATATATACGCTATTCATGACTTCCATTGACCAAAACTTTTGCATTGCTTTTATCAAGAAAGCAAATCGTGAATATTATTTTTGCAAACAAATAAATATTCATATTTTTTATATGCAATGTAATTAAAGAAAATTTTATTTATTGAAGTGTACTATCTCTGAGTGTATTATTAAAAATGCAGTCACGTATAATTTATGATCAATTATACATTGGCAAACAAATTTTCAATTTTTCCTGCATTTAAAAAATACTCTTTACCATCTTATTTTTACATGGTTCTAACAACCCTATGAATTAAGAAAAGAAATAAGAATAAACAAAAAGTTTTAATGCAATAAAAATTATTATTTAAGAATTTCTAAATCTATTTTGGCAAAACATATTAAAATTATTTTTAAGAACAAAGATAATCGACTGCAAGTTGAATGTATACAACAAAACTTTTGAAAGCATATATATGATTAAAATTACGGCTGTAGTTAGTCAAACTAGCTGTACAATCACGTTTAGGTTTACAAAATATTGCAATCTTCGTAACTAGCGTGTCCAGTCTTCATAAATATTACTGCACATCGCATAAATTTCTTACGTATTATCAATTCATAGTAATTATTCGTCTATGTTGAAATGCGCTCTAAAAAATGTGACATCATGATCAATACAACTCATTACAAGAGCTACATGTGACATGTTTCTTTAAATTATATACTTAATCAATATAAATTATCGTTCCAATTGAGTTACAATAATTTATTATTCTAATGGACTAATAGCTAATTAGCTTGAATTAAAATTGTTAACTTGACATATTTCAAAAGTTTTTGTTTTAAACTTTAACACTCTTTTTTCTTTTCTTTTTTTTTTAATAATTATAACAAACTAGACTCTTAGAAAAAAATTTATTTATTAAATAAATTGAATAAATTGCTCCATTTTTCTCAATATTTAGTAACATTCTTAGGTATTGTGGAGCCATGAATTTAAAGATCTTGAAGAAAGACTTTAATCACAGTTAAGATAGCAGAAAATGTTGATTAAATGATTCATAAATAATAGGAGATCTTGTAATAATATCGTGGCAAGTTATCGTGCGTAAAGTATATGTAGTGAATAAAAAATAAAAGAACAAAACTATGAAATAATGTTTAATAAAACAAAAAAATATTTAATAACGATAACCATGAAATTCTAAAATGACCCTTCCTTTTAAACAATAATTTTTGTCTTCCAACATATTCCATATACTTATGTTCAGAGTATGATGAATTAAACATTTACCATATTAATTTTATTGAATCTCAGTAAAATATATAGGAAACGACGCATAAAACACACACAAAAAAAGATATACTCAAACAAAAAATTCCAGGGTGTTTGGAAGGCAACTCAGAAATTTTACTTATAATGTTTCTTGCAGATATTTATAATAATTTTTGTTATGCAACAATATCGTATTTTTTAATTACATTTCCCTTCAATTAAGGTTTAATAACTACATTTTCATGTATAAGGATGAATGTTATAAGAAAGATATTATGAACAAAATGTTCATGTTTATTATTTTGCAAAGAAATGTGCAGAATGTAAGATTACAAGGTAACTGTAAGTCAGCGTTTCAAACATCCTGAATATAATACAAAACAGGAGTATGTAGATAATTCTCTTTTGATAATGGGCGTTAAGTATTATATCACGTAGAACAGTACATAGTCTCTTTTTTGGATCTCGTTATATTCAGTAACAAAGATTTTACGTGGCAGGATCAAATAATTAAAATTTCAAGAAAAATTGTACTTTGCTGCAGAAATAATATGCTATATTTATAAATACCTTTTTGTTTCCTGACACTTTCTCCATTCTGTAGTTGCAATCCATATTTCTTTACTTAGTGATAAAATATGCATTTAAATAAATTCTTGCTCTTGACAAACTCGAATGCATTAAAAACACTGCTTTCAAAAATATTTGTTAAATAACTGCCATTAAGCAGCAAAATATTTACAAATACTAATAGAAGATTTCACAGATAGAAGTGTCTAATCCGTTGTTGGAGCATAGTAGGATCAACGTAGTACCATCGATCCAGCCATTACGTAAAATCCCTGTCGATTCGAAAGGGAGAACTTCCATGATGCATAAAATATCAATGCATGTTCATTACAGTCTCTTAATCCATCGTATACAAAGCGTAGATTTACCTTTCGTTAACATGATCATAATATTAAAACCGCGCACTATCTGGCAGAAGAACCGAATACATAAACGCATTTCCAACCATCGTGTGTCAGACGTCGCTTTCTTATTAT